GGATCCAGAGTGGCTCTGGTTTAAAGAACCGGATCCAGAGTGGCTCTGGTTTAAAGAACCGGATCCAGAGTGGCTCTGGTTTAAAGAACCGGATCCAGAGCAGCTTGTGTTCCTCCCTGCAGCCTGAGCAGCTCCTCGTGTACAAACAGTATTTTAAGTTATAGCGTTCTGGTTGTTCGTGGCGTGACCCAGTTGTTGTCGGTGACGTGGGAGCTGCTTTGTCTCCATGTTGAGCTGACCGACAGTTCACACCTGTCTGTAAATCCAAACCTAACATTTCACTAATAAAATGAAAACTACTACAGGAGACGTCTGCGTGTTTCTTTGTCTTTATTGTGAAACAGTTTGAAAATAAAAAAACGTAATTAAACAAAAGCAGCAAGTTTTCTACAAAGTTATTTTTTCTGATATAGAAGCATCGGGGATCGAACTACCAACCCTTCTGACTCAGGTTCATCACAGAAACGTCAGGTCTGATGTCAGTCCTGCAGCTGGGTCAGCTCAGAGACCTTGATGAGGGCCTTCTTCTTGCAGTCCTGGGTCTTCATGTGGCGCCGCAGCGTGTACACGTCGCTGAAGTTCCTGTTGCAGCGGCTGCAGCAGTACGGCCGCTCCTCCGTGTGGTGCTTCATGTGGTATTTGAGCGGCGTGCTGAGCATGAAGGCTTTCCCGCACACGGCGCAGGAGTACGGCCTCTCCCCGGTGTGCGTCCTCATGTGGACCTTCATGTCGGAGCTGGCGGTGAAGGCCTTGAAGCAGACGCGACAGCTGTAGGGTTTCTCTCCCGAGTGCGTCCTCAGGTGGCGGGTCATGGAGGAGGTGATGTTGAAGCGTTTCCCGCAGACGTCGCAGCGGTGCGGCTTCTCGCCCGTGTGCGTCCTCATGTGGATCTCCATGTTGCTCTTACGGCTGAAGCGCTTCCCGCAGACCTCGCAGCCGAAGGGTTTCTCCCCCGTGTGCGTACGCGCGTGCGCCTCCAGCTCCACGCGGCGTCGGAAGGTTTTGCCACAGAACTTGCAGACGTGTCCCTTCAGGTGGACCTGCAGGTGGTCCAGCAGGTCCTGCTTGTCGGGGCGCGGCTCGCCGCAGACGCCGCACACGCAGCGCTCGTCGTCGGCGTGGACCTCGGCGTGGTTCCTGAGGGAGCCGCGGTAACTGAACGTCAACCCACAGACTTTACAGCAAACGGAGCCGCCGCCATCATCGTCTTCACCTGGCTGAGGGGGCGGAGCCTCTGTCACCTCACAGGAAGTGCTCGGCTGGATGTAGTCCTCGTTCAGCTCCGCCTCAGGCTGCTCCATCTTCAGCTCTTTGGTGTCCGCAGCAGGCGGAGCTTCCTCCTCCTCTTCCTCCTGCTTAATGATGCGAAGCTCCGCCTGCAGGAAGTTGATGTCATCGAGGCGCCGACCATCTGCAGAGGAGGAAGAAGCTTCATGAGTTTAACTCCTGAAAGAGAAGAATTTATTTCCTGTTTCAACGTCCAAAACAGGAAGTGTGCTTCCTGTCCGACAGGCCCCGCCCACTGACTGTTACCATGGAGACCAGGTAAACCAAACATTTAGCAGTCTGTTAAGTATTTTTAATCAAAAATATTTTCTCTATTATAATCCAGACTTGTCTTTAATGAAGAAAGTTTATACTTCCTGTTTTCTCCAAAATAAAAGTTTTTATTCTTAGCTGACAGAACCTATTTTAAACTAACCAATGAAAACTATAAATAATGACGTCACCTTAATAAACACAATAATCATTAAATAAATAAGGATTTATTAGTTTTTAACAGGAAGTCAAATCCGTTACAAACAGAAACGAAACCATCAGAACCGAACCTGGACCTGTTTCCGGGTCTCTTGGCGCTCCCGAACCGAGCCCCCTGCTCCGCAGCTGCTCCTGCTGCTCCAACAGAACCTTCTCCACCAGAACCAGGATCTCCTCCGCCGCCGACACCAGGCGCTCCGTCACCAGAACCCGGAGCTGCTGCAGGCCGGACATGTCTGCTCCAACCCGGAAACAGCTGGCACCGGAAGTCCCGATCATATTTCACAATAAGACAACATCTGCTCTTTAGATTGGACATTTGTTGTGTTTTTAATTAAAGAACAACATCTTTACTAAAATGTTGTTGTTTACAGACTACAGTAAACAACAGTAAACAACAGCTGTTGTTATTTATTGAACCTGCAGTTTTATCAGAGACCAGAAGGAGGCGCCAGAAGACAAAACTGGATGAAGAAAAAAAGTCCAGTTTATTCCACAAGACCTGTCCTCAGACCTGTCCTCAGACCTGTCCTCAGACCTGTCCTCTGACCTGTCCTCTCTCAGACCTGTCCTCAGACCTGTCCTCAGACCTGTCCTCAGACCTGTCCTCAGACCTGTCCTCTCTCAGACCTGTCCTCAGACCTGTCCTCAGACCTGTCCTCAGAACTGTCCTCAGACCTGTCCTCTCTCAGACCTGTCCTCAGACCTGTCCTCACTCAGACCTGTCCTCACTCAGACCTGTCCTCAGACCTGTCCTCAGACCTGTCCTCTGACCTGTCCTCTGACCTGTCCTCTCTCATGTCCTCTCTCAGACCTGTCCTCACTCAGACCTGTCCTCAGACCTGTCCTCTGACCTGTCCTCAGACCTGTCCTCTGACCTGTCCTCAGACCTGTCCTCACTCAGACCTGTCCTCAGACCTGTCCTCTGACCTGTCCTCTGACCTGTCCTCAGACCTGTCCTCAGACCTGTCCTCTCTCAGACCTGTCCTCAGACCTGTCCTCAGACCTGTCCTCTGACCTGTCCTCTGACCTGTCCTCTGACCTGTCCTCTCTCAGACCTGTCCTCACTCCTGTCCTCTGACCTGTCCTCTGACCTGTCCTCAGACCTGTCCGCAGACCAGTCCTCTCTCAGACCTGTCCTCAGACCTGTCCTCTGACCTGTCCTCAGACCTGTCCTCAGACCTGTCCTCTCTCAGACCTGTCCTCAGACCTGTCCTCAGACCTGTCCTCTGACCTGTCCTCAGACCTGTCCTCTGACCTGTCCTCTCTCAGACCTGTCCTCAGACCTGTCCTCTGACCTGTCCTCTGACCTGTCCTCAGACCTGTCCGCAGACCAGTCCTCTCTCAGACCTGTCCTCAGACCTGTCCTCTCTCAGACCTGTCCTCAGACCTGTCCTCTCTCAGACCTGTCCTCTCTCAGACCTGTCCTCAGACCTGTCCTCTCTCAGACCTGTCCTCT